ACACTTATAATTATACAATATACAAACACTTTACTTCAATTCAATTGTATGCAAAGCAAAAAATTTACAAATATTGCAGCGAAATAGGCAGCGAATTATACAATTGCGTGTTATACAATCGCAGTGAAATAGGCCAGTGAATTATACAATTGCAGCAAAATAGGCCAACGAATTATACAATTTAGGCCAACAAATCATACAATTGTATATGTATAGCGATGCCAACAAATTATATAATTTAGGCCAGTGAATCATACAATTTTATATGTATAGCGAATTATATAGTTACATGTTTGCTTTGGAGCATAATTATATAAACTTCAATATAGCTTACAAATATAAAAAAATTTATTTGCTGTACGTGAAAGTTACCTTTTTTTTTTAGGGCATGCATGTGGCTTAGCTCAGCCCATTACACATTATTACCCATTGGGCTCAGAACGGGACCATTACAATTATATAAGGCCGTAAAAATATTCCTGTGAGAAATACTAGAAATTATGATGAATTTCTCATTTTAAATTGTAAAAATTAAAGAAATTCCATTGTGAAGATAAGAATTATATCTTATCTCAACTAATTTATATATTTCACATGGATAACTCTGACTTATAACAGTATTTTCGAAAATGTTTTTGGGCGAGTCTCAGGGCGGGGCATATAAAAAACGCTCTAAAGCGTAAATTAAAGACGTAGATTCATAAGACGTAAGTTCTAAAATTTGAGGCGTAAGTCTTGAGTATAAAAACGTAAGTCTTGAACATAAAAACGTATGCTCGGACGTTTATAATTTATTTTTTTCACCTTTTTTGTTTTCAATCATATTTTTTATTACTAGTGTAATGATATTTCTCAAATAATAATTATAATATTTTTTTCTTCATAATTGATTATTATACTTATCTCATATAAAAATTATAAATTATTAAAAGCTTTACTTTTGCTTATTTCATTAATAGTAAAATTATAAATTTAAATATATATGAGACTATGCTCCATAGATCCATGGGACTCACGCCTTGTATCTCGGGGCTTACACTTTGCCCTGTACGTTAAAAAACGCATCGCCTCATGCCCCTACCTTTTAAAACACAAGCCTATACCCATTATAATGTCCTCAATTTCATCTATAAAATTTGAAATTCTGTAGTAGTAATTATGTTAAATAAAAAGTCCCAATCAAATTTGAGTAGATTAAAATAGATCGACTTCCTATAAATTGAGAAATAAATTGTGTAAAAACTAGTTCAATTCAAAAGTGATTTATTTTAGTTGGTAATCTCAGGTTGCGTTGTATAATTGAATTGCTAGAATTTTGATTCATTACTTCACAATTCACAATCACATTAATATATACATATTTCCAACTTTTAAAGAACTTATTTGTCTTTTATTTTATTTTAACAAAATTATTAATGAATTTTAGTTTTGTGTTAACGTTATATTTAATTTATTGACCCAATCAATGGCGTATTAAATCAAGCACTATATATATTGAGTAATTTAGATTGTTGACGACTCAATGGACAAAGTGGTGCCATAATTATTTAATGAGATATTGGAAATTGAACATGGAAAGTCAGAATTAGAAATTAATGCTACACTGAATTTTGTAGTAATATACATACATACCTATTTATGACATTGTCTATTCATCTTCACGTTGAAACGTCAATATAATCCATACCAGGCCACATTAATAATTACTATATTTTTTTGTTTATTTTTATTTATTCATTTTATTATTTGTGTGTTTTCTAAAAAATTACTATTAACACAAAATGCTTTGTATACTAAGACGATAACTTAATAATGTACTAAACTGAGTTAAGAGATGCTGTAAAAAGAGCCTCAGTTTTCCTTCTCTAACCATTTGAAGTACTCCCTTCGTCCACTTTTAATTAACTAATATATTAAGATATATTATTTTATTATATTTATATGTAAAAGAAAGATATAATTTATAATACTTTTTATATGTTTTTGAATATTTAAATTTTTATTTTAAAATATTAAATTAATATAATTTAATTTAACTTTATAAATTAATTAAATTGTTTTTAAAATGACGCAACATAACAATTAAAAATGAAAGGAAGTAATTCACAACACATGTTGTAATTCACAGCGAAAACCAAAAGTTTGGAAAGCGCCGTCTTCAAAAGTCGTAACTTTTCACTTTCATAGAAAATTTGCACAAATAAATTAATGTTTTCATAAATTCAATTGTGAAATTTTGTCAAACTAAATTACTTAAATAAATTGTATAACAATTAAAAATGAAAGGAAGTAATTCACAGCACATGTTGTAATTCACAACAAAATCAAAAGTTTGGAAAGCGCCGTTTTCAAAAGTCGTAACTTTTCACTTTCGTAGAGAATTTGCACAAATAAATTAATGTTTTCATAAAATCAATTGTGAAATTTTGTCAACTAAATTACTTAAATAAATTGTTTAAGAGAAGTGCTAAATGACCAGAAAAAGGTGGTTAAAATTTGATCAGAATAATGAAAAAGATTATTATAGCTTTTCCATTAAAAAAAAATAATTTTTTGATATTTTCAAAATAATATGAGCATTTATTATTTTAATAAGATGAATTTTCTGGATCCATGCCTTATCCTTCTTCAATTCTTTTTTTTTGGGTCATTTCACTTCTCCTTTCTCGAACGAAATAATAAAAGTATTTATTTTATGTATCTATTAAAACTTCATCAATGTAAAAAAAAATTAAAAGCACAAAGAAAATCATAGTTCCCTAAAAAAAATTCATAATTTATTTGCTTTTTAATGTCAAATTATGTATGTATATATAATTAATACATTAATTATTTTTTTGTAATATGACTCAGTTTCAAATACAGTCTCTATATTTCAAATTTAAACATTTAGACTTTATGTACTATAATAAATATACACTTACACCTCCAACTAAGTTTATCTATAACTAATTATATTAAATTATAATTATTGAATAATAAACTAAAAATATAAAAAAAAATTCTTGTGACTCTATTCTTACAAAATTAATTAGGGTCGATACTTATAAGTATAAATTTTTTATGATTTTTGTAATGTATTAATGTTTATCATATATAAAGTGTTTTGAGGTTTGCCTGATTTTATTGAAATATTTTCAAATTATACTTACAAAATTATTTAAATATGTATTTTAAATTTATTTGAACACAACTTCATAAACTTATTTAGTTATAACTCATATTAATAATAATAAATAAGTAATAGTTCACATATTATCAAGTCAACATAACATAAGGGTGCAAAACTATCACATATTCAATATGATTGTTGTTAAATAGGATCGACAGATGAAATATATGATTTTTGTAATATTGTGATATTTGCCATCTCTGAAGTGTTTCGAGTTTTGATTGTCGTTATTAATATAGTTTTATGTTACATGTTAAAATATTCAAATAAATAGCCTAAATTTATTTAAACATAGTAGTTTATAAAATTATATATTTAGACGTCATATTAATAACAAATATAAATAATGATCTATAAATTATCAAATTGACGTAATATAGAATGGATACAAGACTATAATTAAAATTAACACGTTACTCTTTGGGATTCTCAACAACATGCAATATTAGTAAAATAAATGTGGATTCTGAAATTTACAATTGAATGGTAATGATTAATATGATTCTTCACTTATTAATTAACTGTCTATACATCGTGTGCGTATTTCTTTTAAAAAATAATAATATAATTTGGGACTTAGATATTTTAAATAACTATTAATAATAATGCAATTTTCGTAGTGATGTCTTGAATTAAGAAAGTTATTTTTTATTATATAATTGTCTTAATATCAAGGTTGACTGCTCTCTTTTTAATATAATACTAACATTGATATATATAAAATAATCAAATAAGACACAGAATATTTTTTACATTTCATTACTATACCACATTGTTTGTTTATCTTTATAATAATAATATTGTGCAGATTATGTTGAATTATTATTAGGAGAAAAAAAGATTTGATATACTCCTTAATCCATGGCATGTAGCTTGGTTATGCAATGACAGACTATCACTTGCTGAAATAATACAAAATTTGATTAATTAAATTTACGTTAAATAATTAAAGACTATCTCTTAATTCCTTTTTAGGTGAAAAAACAACACTATTATTAGTCACGCAAGAGTGAATAATGAATTCCGTACGAAATTCTCTATAAACGTTTTCCGAATGATGTATGTCACGTATAGCTACTTAAATAGGCTTTAAGTATTTATACTTATATCACATTCTCAAATTACTCATTAATAACTAACATTATAATTAAATATTTAAAAGTATTTAATATTTTTTTCTATACAGAGGGTATAATCAAAACTTATTGAATTTTTGCAAATCCGTACCTAACATATTGGATTGGGATTATGAGTCCGTTTGAATAAGTAGATGATAAATTATAAGGGTTGAAATTAATCATAAGTTACAAATAAACAATTATTTAGTTGTGTTTGAATAGAAGTATTAAAACTATACTAATTAATTTATTTGATAGAAAAATAGTGATTAATAAGTTGTTCTTTTTATTTAAATGATTAAATTTTCCTTACTTTCAAAATGTAATGGTTTAAAAATAAGAAGAAAAGGAAAAACAACAAGATAAAGTCAAGAGTAAGTTAGGTGTTTTGGAATTTAAAAAATTAATAAGAAAATGTCAAATAAAAAAAAAGTAATACTAAATATAAGCTGAAAAAACTCATAAAAAAAGGATTGAGATTTTAATTCATGAACACTTAGGCATTTATTACATGAAATAGATAAATTAAAATTTGTTTATAAAACTAGTTCTTTTAAGACAATTCAAATGATGTGATTCCAATTATTCGTCGCACTCAATATATTAATTTACACGAGTTGATTAATATAAATCGCACTAGCAAAATATTCAAATTAGAAGTAATAATAAAAATTAATTGAGATTAAAAAAAAATAATAACGTAATTCCACTAAACAAAGAGATATGAACTTTAATTAGCATCCAAATTACTTATTGATCGGATAAACGTTACGAAGGAAAAAACAACCCAGTTTTTTCTCATTAAAATAAAGTAAGAAATTGAAGACCGAAACGGTTGCCATCGGAAAATGGATATCATCGCCGTCGAGGAACACAGAAACGGCCATTTTTAAAAACCTAATTTATATATATATATATATATACACACAACTTGAAACAAAGAGAAAAATTCATTTCTTTTTCAAATCTCAACTGTGGAGAAGAACTAAGTAAGACTAGTCTTGCCGGGTTTATCAGCAGCTTGAAGAGTTTTGTCGATGAGCTTACGAGCCTTTTTGCTACGGATCTCCACTCTGACGCTGGAGCTTTTGTCCATTTTGACGTAGGGTTTCTTCGATTTCTTCAACTTCCTCACCTTCGATTTTATCGATTGAACCAAACTCTCCAATTGAATCGCCATCGCCATTGTTGGAGAAGAAATGGAGGAGATAGAAAAATATTGAATGATTCACCAAATCAATCTCTCCTATTTATGGATTTTTCTGGTTCTCTATTTTGACTGGACTACCCACCCTTCTTATAAATGAATAAATAAAATTAAATGCCCCTTTGTCCTCCAATTATTACTCTCTTTTGCCACCGTGTTTCGTCAATTCTAAACTAAACAGGCTTTGATTTATTTAGGCTAAGGATAAAATTTGGGAATACATTTCAAATTAATGTATGATTAATTTTCATATATATATATATATATATGTGTTAAAATAAATAAATAAAAGTGAAAATTATTCTAGAAATAATACATAATAATCAAGAAGGAATTGATTGTTCAAAATACTTGTTTTTTTTTCCCTTGTAAGAATTAATGATGGAAATGTAAAAAGCGTTTGAAGTATAATTACAACAACTTCAAATAGTAAGTAAATGTGTTCGTATTTGATGAAGATTTTAGGTGTTATTTCTTGATATAATTGTCATCCAATTGATGGGGAAATGGGAATGCAATATGGTCAATTTTGGGTTACAAAATAAAATTCCAAATCTCGATATATGTCAGCATGTACTGAGATATGACATATCTCTTCAAAGTTAATTCAATAACAGTTAAACTCAATAATCCAATCCACTTAATACAAACTTCATTACTTGGTGGCTAGCAAATGCAATCTGATTCCTGTCACGCATTAGACAAAATACAATCAAACGAATAAAGTTGCACATGCTTATGTTGTCTGTCTACATATTTAACAAAAACATCCAAAAAGGTTCACACCTAGGAACCTTCATTCAGACATAATTGCTGACCACTCTTAAAAAAGTGAATGTCTCTAAAACACAAAATAATGAAATGACACCAATCATCACATGGCATTTACTAAATACTACTACTATAATTGCAAGTCAAAACACATGCAGAACACATTCCATCCATGGCATAGTTTTTTTAAAACTTTAAAGTTGAACCACCAAATAATTATACCATTCAGAATAAACCTCCCTCCCCTAGTTATAGTCATTCTTACAACACAACTGCAGAAAAGTCTATACTATATAGCAGACAGAACCTGATGTACACAAGAAAAAAACTATAGACAGACAACACTTTATATGTAAAACTACTACATTGACATGAGATAGAAAAATATGTATAAAGAAAAAATAATTAATAACTGCATTTTGAGGCTAAGAGATCAGGTCAATTAATTATATTATATAATACAGAAGAAAAGTTTAGACAGCAAACTGCAGAAAAGTAAGCAACAAAGACAAACTTAAAGATAAGGACTTGAATGTCATCACTCACCACTCATGTAGCAATTTGACTTTCCAAAACCGTCCAAGAGTTGGACAAAAATAATTCGTGGAATTCAATACCACCAGATTCTCACTTGAGATTAAAAAGAAAAGTCAGCTGGGCAACTTCAGAAGTATTTTGTAAAGGATGATACACTGGCCTTTCCCAAATGGAGTGAGGGTGAGGCCAGACACAAAAAAGCGAATGATTCATCATTATCCTTATCCTTCCACTTCTGAATTCCTTTAATAATGCTCTTGCCGCTTTCTTGGGGACCCCTCAGCATATGAACACTACCTAAAACAAAGTATTCATCTACATAAGTATCTATATTGGTGAGAGCATGTAAATCTGTTAATACAACTCAGCATCTTCAGCTAATGATCAACTGTTAATTCCAGAGTAAAGGGACGGGAAGAAACTTAATTGTCAGTAACCAAAGCACTAAATCAGAAATCCTGTAACTGCAATTTCGTTTTTTTTTTATGTAGCAAAGACGAGAAAGATTCACCATAGTTAGCATACTGCTCTTCCCTTTTTTATGTTTCTCTCTAAAATTTTTGGTGCCATAGGTATATACAATCATGCGGATTTAAAAAAAAAGAACCATAACCATATACTGATAGAAATCTTGAGAGATCAATTAAACCTTTATCAGTGTAAGTTGAAGATGATGGATCCACAAAAAAATGAAAGAAATCCTAACTGAAAACTTTATTGAACCCTTTCAAACAAGACCATCAAACTGAATTTGACTGAATCAATAAACATTACTTGCCTGCAAGCTTGCTAAACCTTCAATAACTCTTGGTTGTCAGACCACAACATTAATGCTGACAAAAGAGCCACTGTAGCAGTTTCAACTCGTAGACGATGTGGTCCAAGACCAACAGAAGTTGCCCCAGCCTCAAGAATCATGTTTAACTCTCTCTCCGTGAAGTCTACAATGGAGTGCGTTCACAATAATTACATACAAACGAAAAGAAAATTATAAATTAAAATAAATATCTGAATGTTGTATGTAAGATTGTCTAGTATCCGCAACCTATTCTTTGGTTTTGGTCCAAATTCTTTTATCATAATTGTTTTTCACCACTATTGAAGGACTCTTACTTCTGGATAATGAGGACAAAACAAGAGAGTCTAAACTCACTTCAGCTTGCAAAATTGGACTGGTGCACCCATAAGCGATTGTAAAAGCACCACAAAATGTGAAGCCAAATCATCACAAAACAAACTCTGCATTGTACAAAGAAATTCCTGCAGTGCGAGAAAGATAAATAGGGTTTGTGGTTAGAGTTCGGGTGGTGTATGGATGGAGAGTGTTGTTCTAGCCTAGCAAAGTGGATATTGGAGAATGGAGCAGGAGGTTGCATGGCCTGTTGAAGCAAAAGGGCTAGCATTGGCAATCTATGTTTTTCATTCAATTATTGTCTGTCTTCTTCTTTCCTTTATACTAGATTTTTCCTTTCCCCCTCCTAAGAATTTATATAGAATCAACATTATGGGTACTCTGCCAGTTTTTGGATAAAGATGAGTATTATACTAGCTTCAAAGGATTCTCCTATTACTTGAAATAGAAAAGCCTCTTTAGAAGTTAAAAGGCCAAATGAGCTTCAACACAAAAATTATCCAAAACTGGAGCTTCACATTAAAACACAGCCTAGTTTTATAAGTCATCTACCCAAAAGATGATTACTTTTACTAAAAATGTTCGGGCATATATGTTCCTTACACTTGTCATCAGGATTCTGGACAATGGACTTCTTCAGATAATCAAATAATTGACTTATGACCAACAAAAATAACATCAGCATAAAGGCACAAAATCTTGGGCATAGACCGGAAGATGAGGAAAAGCTGCAGAAAGATACTAACCTCCTTCCGGTCCAATTATCATCAGTCCAGTTGATTCTTTTTTGATGGAACTTAGAGCACTAAATACTGGTTTAGCTTCTGCCGTGGCAATAAACGAAAGCTTTGAATTTTTAACCTTGAGCATAAGTGGCACCACAAAACAAAGAAAAGAAAAATGAGTAAGTTCTGCAAAGAGAATGACCCACAAATAGTCTTAAGGATCTCCTATATGCTGTTCGCTTTGAAAAAGATTTCACTTTGTGGGAGGAAATTAGAAAAACCAACTTACAAGGGGTAAAAGTCCACCAATTTTTATAGGAGGATTTAGAACCATTTCATGCAACCGTTGGCCTAAAACAAAATGCTGTTAATGTCAAAACATAACACAAGCACCCACAAAGAAAATTAGTGCACAAAATAAATTTTGTATCAGAGTGGAAAAGCTTACATTGTTTAGCTGCAGCAAGATTGACACGTTGTAATCTATCTACACGATTTTCTGATATTGAAGGAGACCGGTCCGTCAATAAGGGAGTCACACTACAGGCTCCTAGCTCCTGTGTCCATCGAACAAAGAGAGTGAACAAAAAAGTTGCTGAAAGCTTCAGGAGAGACACAATATTCACATGGGCAATTCATACATACTGTACATTTCTCCACAAGCCAATCGGCCCGGCCTCCCTTCAGAGTACCTAAATTGCAGGAATTTACTGCACATTATGCAAGGCAGAGAAATGATCTATAGACAACACCAGTAACCATGCTCATAATCACTCACCGAATGCAGCATAGACATGCCACTGTGTGTTATGTGGAGATACTGACTTTGGATTCTCGAGAGCCACAATATCCAATCCATTCTGATCAATGTTCTGTATACAGCCTTCAACTAATCCTCCTTTTCCATCAAATAGTTCTACCCTTGCAAATTGGGCATCATGAATAGGTAAAATTAACTCAGTACCATTGTTAAAGGATTATATAGAACCCCAGGCACCAACTATGTTTCTTATTCTAGGACAACCCTTTTGGCTTATGTTAAGACGGAAATCAACAACTACTTGTTGAAAATCATATCCTTCATAGAATTGACAGATCTAAAATCTATATTACGAAAATCCAAAGTGGACAACCAGATTGAGAACAGGGGAAGCCGGAAAGGGAATACAAAACGCTTCTAAAAGATAATAGGAAGTTGGCGAATTGAAGGTCATTCACATTCCTTATTCAAAATAAAGCAGCAATTGTAATGACACTTTTAAACAAGCCATTCTCATAGTTTGCAACTTGCATACTTAAACTATGCACATAATTGCAACTTGCATACTTTTAAACAAGCCATTCTCTAGGACACATAATTGTATATCACTGTTAAACATCCAAGATATGTTGTGAGGCAATACCTATCATGAATTCTCAACCTCAAGACCCTAGTCATGTGCCAAAATTCATCACCTTTGACACGAACAACGCCATCCTGCATTCTCAAAAGCCATAAAGACACCATAGCTTAGCCTCTTAAATCATCTGGTCCGAATACAATAAAAATAATGCTACAGAAAAAAAAAAGAGGATACAACTACCCTCAAGTCTAAACTAGTTGGGGTCGGGTATAAGATCCTCATTATCCACTCCGCTCTATCTTAGACTCATTTGATTTCAAATTACCTATGTTAACTTCAGATAGCCGGCATTCATTATGATAAAGACAGTTATAACATCAAGAATCCTACACTAGAAGAATTTCAGTTTATCGTTTGACAACCGGCAACTGAAGCGCATGAAAGTTCGAATGTTTCTTGCAGAAGCAATTGGTAGTACATAATACAAACCTAACCCTGTTGTTTTCTCAATAAAATCAAGACCCCATTATTTAAAAACGGACAATCCTTGGAAGGATACAGACATGGCTTAGACGATAAATCAAGAACCCCATTCTTTTTTCAATAACCGGCTTTCAGTAATGATAAAGACAGTTGTAACATCAAGAACCCTTCCCTAGCAAGAATTTCAGTTAATCGGTTGACAACAGTCAAATTACAAGCAAGAAAGTTGGAAATGTTTGTTGCAGAATCAATTAACAAACCCTGTTCTTTTCTCAATAAAATCTAAGACCCCATTCTTGAGAAAAGAAAAACAGTAGGAGTGAGAGAAGAAAATGGACATTGCCTTGGAAGGAGGAAGCTTATCGGAGTAGAATCGGGGAAGACCACCACGAGACTGGTTAGAAGAAGAAGATGATGAGAATGCCCGCAAACTGTTTGTTGTTTGACGTGAACGAGACAACAGATTGACTAGCCAAGGACTTGAAACAGAGGCTTGCATTTTAGTCGAGCGCAATAAAATCTCTGCGCGGGTGGCTGCCTACCTTTATATTCGTTTTGTCCTGATTATAACACAATAACTTAAAACGGAGGATTATTTTTCTTTTTTTACAATAATTTATTAATTTTAATTTTTTCAACATGACATGTTTAAAATTAAAGAGCAACTTTTATATATAGCAAATAAAAAATTCATATTTGTATGTTATAGCAAAGTTTGCATAATTGCGCTTTGTAGCAAACATAGAAACTGTACAATTCGTTATACATACATATACATAAAACGAATTGTATTATTATAAGTGTATAGAACGATTATATACAATTTGAATTTGTATAAAATGAGAAAGAGAGAAAGACAAAAGAGACTTGACAATGAATATACATTTGAATCGAATTGTATAAAACGAGGAAGAGAGAAATTAGATACAATTTGAAAATTGTATAAAATGAGAAAAAGAGAAAGACAAAAGAAACTAGGCAGTGGAGTATTTTTATTGTATAATTATAAGTGCATAGGACGAAAACATATGTACTTGCATAAGTATATACAATTTTCTCACGCATTATACAAACAGAAACACAATTTATACATTTCGCTTCTGTTTGTATAAGTGAGAAAGGCGAGGGTGCGAGTGGGATTTGAGAGAGTGGCGAGCGAGATCTGGAAGAGGGGAGAGAGGGGAACAAAAATATATGTATTTATACAATTTTCTTTGTTTTATACAATTAGAAACACTTTTTATACACTTGTGTTTGTATAAAAAGTGAGGAAGCGAGCGAGAGATTGGAGGAGAGTGGCGAGCGAGATATTTGGGAGAGAGGCGCTTGACAATTTTTTGCAAACGTTTGCTATGGGCACAATTAAATCAAACCCTAGCTACTCCATTTATTTATTTATTTATTTATTTATTTTTTTTTTAAGGTTTGAACCCAAGTTGATGAGGTGGTAGACCTTCTTTTTGTCAATTGGGCTATTTATTTTAGGTTATTAGTTTGCTATTATATACAATTTTCCCAAAATTAAAGGTGTAAAATAGGCGGGTTGGGTTGAAATTGAAAATACTATAATGGATCGAGTAGGAATCGGATTGAGTCTTGACCCGCCCAAGTTTACTTTGGGCTCAAATGGGTTGGGCTCAAATGCGCTAAAAAACGGGTTGGATCTTGAACCCATAATTTGACCCGATTAATTTCAATAATTTAACATATTGATAATTAACTTTTATAATCACAATTTGAATTTCCCTAAAAAAATTGTTAAAAAAGTAACAAATTGATAGATAAACCCCAAAAGATGTTAAATATATAATAATTTATACTTTTAAATATAGAAACATACCTAAATAAAAAATTTAAAAAAGGGGTGAAATTGGAGATTGAATTGGGCCCAATTGAGAATTCTCCTCAAGTGGATTAAGCTTGAATGAGTTGAGATTGAACCCAATTCAAAATTATCTTGAGCCCAACCCTTAAAATGTTGGACGGATTGAGCTGGTTATATATGTTTCGGTTCATTTTGACACCTCTATTTAAAATCAAGTATCTTAGTACATTTTAACATAACATTAATTTAAAATCATGCATTTTAATATATTTAACATAACAACTACAAAATTAAAAATTTTTCTTTTATCTTGTTAAATTTCATGCAAAGGACTAGAATATTTCTGTGAATGGAATCATTTGAGTTTTTAAATCTCAAGTGCTAAAACCATTATACGTGGTTTTAACAAGCTTACAAAGAAGTTTTACAATGAGGTTATTATTGCATTTAAAACTCAAAGTATGTATCATATAATAAATGATGATTTGAGCATATTATCTGTTGATAGTTCTGAACCTTTTTTTTTATATATATATATTCATGCCATTTTTAATAACGACTTAGATAGTCATTTAAAAAGAAGAAAGAATATATTATTTTGCCATTCTTATTCTCCATAAATAATACAAGTGTTTCACCACTAATTAATACTACTGAATATTGTATGTAAGAAAGATTGTCTAGTATCCGCAAAGCTTTTCTTTAGTTTAGGTTTCAAATTAATCCTTGTTATAATAATCGTTATTCACAACTCTTGAAGGACACTTTCATGGACAAAATAAGAGGGTCTAAACCCAATGTTTTTGTTGGACACCATGAGTTTGAGAACAAAATATAAAGGTTAAAACTAGTCAAGCGATATATCTGACAAGGTTAATATGATCCAAGAAAAAAAGAGAGTAAGTTGTCATGCCATCAAAGTATAATAATATATCTTTCCTCTTTCTCCTACACTTTCAAGATACCCTTGGTTAATGCATCTCGAATGTTAAATGAAACGAATACAATTGAACTTTTCTCTTTATTGTCAAGCCATCACATATCGACAAAACAATATACTATAGTACTATACTACACCCCATTTCTCCAAAATCTTTCACTTGATTAAATGATAAGTAATTTTTATATTTAAATATATACTAAAATAATCTTTTCTTCCTATACTCACGTATGTTTTTCCACAAACTGTGACAACAAAATCCACTAAACTCAACGGAAATAAAACCCAACTATCAAGTATGCACATTAATTTCTTCACCATGGTCCTACACAACATGTAAATTCTCTAGACAAGCAACAACTTCTTTCATATTTGGTCGTTTCTTTGGTCGATCTTCTACACAACGTTTAGCAAGTTCTGTTATTGCAACTGCATCAAGATGACCAAAACCTGGATCACCCACAAAACTTTGGTGGACAAGTGAACATCCGGGCTTGAACTCCTTCAAGGCCCATAAATCAAGTACCTCATTATCTACGGGGTTTCCTTTCTCAACAACTTTTTTGCTTATAAAGTTTAAGAGCAAAACACCAAACGCAAAAACATCAGACTTGACACTGAATGTATCTGCAAAGTATTTGACAAAGTACAAACATGGTTATCGGGTAACGAAAAGAAGCTTAAGCAGGACAGATAAAATTAATAACAATCTTAGAGTCTTGACTTCTCAAGTTAAGTGGCACATGATTTTTTATTTTATTTTTGGAAATGCAAAAGAATGAAACACATCAAAAATTACAAGAATAAAATGAAACCACAAATGAAAAGGGAACATAAAAAAATAGAAATCAACAAAAAAATCTATATAAATATATAAACAATACTTTAATAAGCTCTCCCCATCTACACATCTGCAAATTATATCACACCAGACCAACCATAACTATTATTGTTTTGTGAAACCCAAAGGGTATATTTATTTACAGTGGAGAGGAAAGGAATGGAAGAAAAGAGAGTGGGAAGGATGATTCATTTGAAACACAACAATAACAATATACCCGGTTTAATCCCACAAGTGAGGTCGTCTACGGAAGGTAGGATATATGTTGACTATACCCCCTCCTCCCCATACCTTTGTGGGGTAAAGAGGTTTCCAATAAACACACTACACATGAACACATTACCAAAAAGGCTAGAACGAAAAAAAAAAAATAACGGCAACAAACTAGCAAGGTAGACGACCAATGAAGCATTCATTTCAAACACAAAACTACACAAATCATTAGCCTCTTTTCCTTCTATTTTTTTCTACATCCCCTCATTTCAAACATAACGTCAGCTTCTATTAAAACGAACACAAGGAAATTGAGGAGAACAACTCAAAGAAAACTACTGAGAAATGTCTCAAAAAAAAAAAACTCTCAAGGACATAAAATTGTGAGCACCTCTAAAGAAAATATTACTTTCAGTATCATGTGACAATGAAATAACACTATTTTTTTCTTTCTTTTATGGAAGTGTTCTCAGCACCAACTTATGCTTTCCTCCACTGATCCATCGGATACTTCTCTACCCGCAATCCCGCGCATAGATACCGAATAGCGGGTAGCACTCTGTCCACCATATCATTTGATGCAACAATAAAAGTAACACTAATTCGCTAGAGTTCTATTTAACGGAAACAAAAGAAGAGAACTCGAGTCGTACCAGTACCACATTGAAATATGTATGAATCGATGTAGCCATATGGAGCACATCTCATATCTGATTCATTGATTGTATTACCGAGAACTCCTCCAACAATCAAACCCAACTCAAACATAATTGGCGTGAAATCCTAGAGAGATGAAACGCAAAACATCTTCAGGCACTCAAATTACTGAAATACAAACATAATAGAATCTTGACAACCAAGAATATTGAACAACAAAATGAAATTGCAATATTGTACCTGGTCAAGCACAATGTGATATGGAGCAAAGTTGCGAATGAGGTATTTCCTATCATGCAGATAATTAAGCAAGCGAGCTAATGTAAGGGCTGTCCTAACTCTCAGCATCCAATTGAAGTCAGCTGAAAAGTAATAGGAATGTCAACTGTGTCTCCTATGAATTCTTGGATAAGGAGATTCACTGCATGTCATGTCTCCTCCCCACATTTGTATTCTGGTAATAATATAGCTACTTTGCCCTATTAATGACTAGAGTTTCTTTGCTCAAAAGACTCACTATTGCCTTGGTTTGAGCCCAAATATAGCTATAGCAAACGTACTTAACAGCAGCAAAATAGATAAAAGATGAGTAAAGATAGAAGCACACCTCGAGTAATTAAGTTCTCCAAAATATCATGTGGATTTAGATCATAAACAATACCCAAGGTCTCTTCCTCTTCACAATATCCAATCACTTTCACTAAATTGGGATTGCCCTTAATCCTTGGAGCTTGCAAAAATTTCAATTCATACTACGGAAGCATAAACGAAGAAAAGAGTCAGATAAGGTAAGGAAGGAAGACTATGAGCTTGCACGTACACACAAACCTCGAATCTTTCCAGTCTGTCGTCGCCTGTATATCGAAATATCCATTTATCAATACCTATAATCTTGACAGCGACATCCTTGCTAATATCATCAATGACCATCTTCCCACGATAGAGCTTTCCTAAGTTGGTGACTCCAACAAGATTTTCCGGAGAAAATTGGGCTGTAAATCGACTTAGGTCCTGGGATGTGAGTTTATGAAGTTCATCTTTCACGGGAAAATCCTCCTCCTCCTCCTCATCAACTGGGCCTTTCTTTCGTATGCAAGGCAGATTGATGCATCCTGGAAAAAACAAGTGAGAAAGAAGAAACAAATACACTATGTATTCAGTATCAAAAAATCCCATTTTTGAATTTCTGCCTCCATACACAATCAAAATAAAAATAAAATTGCAAACAATCAAAATAAATAGAAATGTAATTCTATATACAGGAAAACCCTAGAAAAGCAAATAGATAATTTGAGATAACTACATAGAGATGGAAGATACCCACCAGCAAAACACCGGCGAAACATGATTCTTGAAACAATGGCAATCACGGGAGAGACGGACTTCACCGACAATGGATGGGAATCAAATTCTTTTTCTTTTTTTTTTTTATTTAGAAAAGATATTAGGAAATATATTGGGCTTGTTTTACGCCGGATCGTTATTTATTTTGTATATAGAGATTTAATTTGATAAGAATGGAGTATTTGGTTTGGTGAGTATCGTGTTTCGATCGAGAAAAGAAATTGGATAATGTTAATTAAAAGCAGATTATTTTTGTCGATTTGGTTTTTCATTCAATAGGTGATTAGTTTGTAGGCATTGACCATTCAAATAATTTCATTTTAACAAAATAAATTAAAGTATATAATATATTTGACACTATTCTTAAAAAACAAAATTAACAAAAATCTCTTCTCGAATACATCATTACTCTCTCTCAAATACGTCATATCACTCTTGTTCATCAAATAATGTATCATTCACAATAGAAATTAGATAAGTTTTACATAATTTTGCCACCCCTAGTTGATCCTAACATGTCCAGTTGAAGCAAGAAGAGAATATATTGGGCAAGTACTAAGCCCAAGGAGGCAGAAATGGGCCTAAATTAATTATTTAACCAAGCTTGTTGTGCCTTTCAGTACTACTGAATAGCATAAGGGAGTTGATGTTACCAAGTTATTTTCACTATCAAAAAATTCTTCTATTGCGATATGTACAATACAAAACAATTTTTTCATATTATTAATCCAATCTTATCAGTAGACATCTTATATCACAGATCTCTTTTGCCTTGTTTAGTAGTCTAACTGTAACAACAATACTTTGAACACCAATAATGCTTGACATCTTTAAAGCTTGTGCAGCCTATAGTACTAATTTTAGATTAACAGGAAAAAAATGAGCCGCAATTAAAAAAGGACAACAGAATGCAACACTCAACGGTACCATGACTCCTTCAACTGAACCCCCAAGCGTTGCTGAGCATATGTTAATATTCCAACAGCTGCCTGAAGATGTCAAGCATGATTAAGTTTAATCACCAGAAAGTCAGTATGAAACATAAGTAAGCAGCAACAAACAACTAAGAAATCAAGACCTCATGTTGATGTAATTGATTATTTATATGGATTAGAGCTTCAACTACAGCAACAGGATTCGCATACCTCCTATTTGAAAGTGCGCCTTCAGATTCCGTTTCCTTGTAGTGTAGGGCCTTTGCAAATGCTCGACACTGAGAGGAAGAGATCATTATGGATACTACTTAAGCAGAAGGTATATATCCATCAACTGCACAATGTTAGAATAAACCCACCTTCTCCACTAGGACACCCAGCAGACGGATATCTATAGGAAGGGGCATCTCTCATCATGTTCCATAAACTCCGCCTGGAAAATACAATTAGCCAAATTGAAATAAAAATTATAGTGCTGCGGCTTACAGAGGAGAGGACAGATTACTGTAATGGAATCATCATCTGGAAACTTAATCATGCTTGACATCTTTAAAGCTAGTGAGTGCAGCCTATAGTACTAATTTTAGATTAACAAGAAAAAACAAGCTGCAATTGAAACAGTAAAACAGAATGCAACAATTAGCAGTAATGTGACTCCTTTAACTGAACCCCCAAGCTGATGAGCATATGTTGATATTCCAATAGCTGCCTGAAGATGCCAAGCATAGATTAGTTAATCACCAGAAAGTCAGAAACATAAGTAAGCTGCAACAAACAACTAAGAAATCAAGACCTCATGTTGATGTAATTGATTATTTATTTGGATTAGAGCTTCAACTACAGCAACAGGATTTGCATCCCTCCTATTTGAAACTGTAAGCATGAAGCATGCATCCCCAGAATACTTCGCAAGCATAGTTGATTGAAACCTGAAGCAGTTCTCTCTCCCTTGCACCCCTTTGTGGTTGAAGAAGCTCTCTATATGAAGAGGAATCCTCACTATTCACAACAGGAGGCACATGTGCACTGGCAAGTGTGGACATTTGCGGAACTCCATTGAAATTGAAAAGACGCCAATTTACAAGTGGGTCATGAACAAAGGCCTGATAAGAAAAAAAAGAAGACAGAAGAATGAAATAAGCTGATAAATTAATTCAGTAACTAAAACATTTACATCATTACAAGACAAATGACAAACTCCTCATTCAGAGCAACCTAAACATATATTCAAGGAATGAAACCAAGCATCTCAATCTGATGAAAGGCGTTCCTCTTTTCACTGTGAGTTCAATTTGCTGTAACAGTTACTTACTAGCCTTATAAGGTTTTCAATTGTTCAACATGGCAATTTAAGGACCAATAGATTCTAATTTTTCAATCATACAAGTCATTCCAACTCCAGTTGGATCCAAATCTACTCATTAGATAGATAGCATAGTCGTTATGAATCAACCTCGGCCCGACAGGAACTTTGACGTCACCAAATCAGTTATTGGGTTAAAAAGGTTGATTTGGGATCCAGGCCCAATTAGCAACTAATTTAAAAGGAAGAGAAGTTAGAAAGAGAGGTTAAGCATATTACGAAGAAACCGTGTGTTCCTCTATCTCTTTCTAGAATCTAACTTTCCATCTCCATTCTTATCTTTATCTTTAGTTACTTGTTATTTCGGTATTTCACTTTGTAATTTGATTATCAATGAATATGATTTTTATGTATTTGTATTGAGAATTCGAGTTCGTTTCATTGGTGCTTTCATCCAGAGGTCTTCAATGGAGGACCAAATATCTCGAACAATTGAAGATTCAATTAATGTCATGAAGGATACTTGGTCGAAGGATCTCGCCGAAATTCGTTCACTATTACAAGAGTTCGTTGGAATCCTTCCAACGAGTAAACCAAGTCCGGTGGAATTTCAACGATTCTGTGGCCAGAATCCAGAGTTATGGATTTCTCAGGCTGAACGCTATTTTGAGTTCCATGAGATTACAGAAAACCACAAGTTACATCTCGCATCGTGCTATCTCGACGGGGCAGCTTTACAGTGGTATCAGTGGCTTTTCGAGAACAAACAATTGGTAGATTGGAAACATTTTGTTGAGAAAGTGTTGATTCGCTTTCGTAAATGTCATCTCAAATTGCACGCATATAGTTTATCCAATCTCCAACAGTGGAGAAATATAACCAATTCAGCGTTGCTTAAAAGCTGTGAAGAGAAATCTGAACAAAAAAGTAAAATTGGTGCGCACAAGGTGTTTGACAAAAGATTAACTAGCAACTGTCCCACAGACACTCCAATTGAAAGGGCTGGTGAAGAATCTCCAAGTATGGATAGTATCTCAGTCGAATTGTTCAATGGACATCCCCAAGGAGAATCTTCAGGGAGGTACGTTAATGCAACTCATATTGACCGCGACTCTAATGAATCACAAATTCATAAAATTAATGTAACACCCCGTAGCCAAAACAGACTAAAAATCAGTTTTTCATAAAAATTTGCAGGTGCAACTGACGTGACCATCGACGGACCGTAGCCTGACCCACGGTCCGTCCTGCACAACCGTCGATGGAATCAGAAACTCCCAAACATCTCAGCCCAGGAAAATTGGTTAAGTGTTGGTCGACGGACGGACTTACAGTCTGTTGGTCAGACTACGGTCCGTAGTCCATGACCGTCGATCAAGACCCCCTTCACCCACTCTCTGACAAGAGCCACGGATGTCCAACATGGTCCGTAGATGGACCCACGGTCCGTAGGTCTGACCGTAAGATGGAATTAGCAGACAGTTATGGGAGAAGTGCAGTTGGGTCAACTTCAAGTGGTCATAACTCTTAGCACAAAATAAATTAGGTGTCCCATGACCTACCCACAGATAAATAATTGAATTATCTTTCCATAGCCACCGACCTTACTAAAACCAAACCTCTGATTAAAAAGTTATGCCCGTTTTAGTAAAGGCTTGTCGAACAGGCCCAACTGACGGACCAACCGATGGGGCGTGGATCCACCTACGGACCGTCTGTCCTAGCTGTAGGTTGGTCCGACAACAACTTTCTCAGGGGTCTTTTGAACCTTTTCCACTTCGTTTAAACCCTAATATACGTCGTTTTGACCCTAAATTATCAGATTTTAGTCAGTTTAAGCCTAGAAACATAATTAAAACATATCTAAGTCAAATCATTAAATCAAAACATAGAAAATTAGAAGCAAGAGAGGAAAAAAACCCAAGAATCCTAGTTCAAGAACGCCACAAGCTCCAGCAGTTCCAGCCCCGAAACTTAAGTATTTTTCCATGGATTTCATCACCAGGTATGTGGGATTTCATTAGTGGGTTCCTTTCACCCATTGGGTCCCTAGTTTTCAGTCAGTTTTTGATTCTCTTATCATGATTAAACCTAGGGTTTTAGAACTTTGATAGAACTTCATGATTTAGTTAAATATATGTTCCGAATCAGATTATCATGTTATTACTCAGATTATCGCATGAATTTCAGAACCCTAGCTTTGTATTTCTTTAGTTCTTGAATTACACATGCTAGGTCAGATATTTCAGTTATGCAGATATACATGCTTCAATTTTTAATGCATCATTATCAAATTAAATGTTGCATTCTCAGTTTGCATGTTTAGTTTTGAGCTATCCAGTATTTATAGAAACTCAAACATAATCAGTTAATTTACATAATTCATTGGGAGTAGCATAATACCGAGTTGGACTATGGTTTAGCGTACCCCAATAGTCCCAGAACTACTAGCCAAGTAGGTTGTAAGTCCCCTATGTGGGCAATCAGTTTAGTGATCACGCTAGCATGCCTTTATACCTTTGGCAGGGTATATTGCGTCCTCTCGATGGGGCGTATACATCGGACTCCACATTTAGCTCATGTGATTTTATTATCGGTTATTAGTAGCTCCCACAGATCAGTCAGACTCTCTGCATTGACCATCTATCAATATATTCAGTATTCAGTTTCAGCATGTTATGAATTGGTCATTGCATTCAGTTAGCACAAAAATTCAATATATTATGTTCAGTTTATTATACTTGTTTTAGTGCTTGTTCAGTTATGTTTTATTTCAGCTTTACTCTATCCTACATGCTCAGTACCTTCAAGTACTGACGCATACGTACGCTACATCTTCTCGTGATGTAGGTTCAGGTTCTTAGCATCCAGATCTCGCATAGATCGATTTCCGATCTCCAGTTCAGCAGATTCAGTGGTGATCAATCCTCATTCTCCGAGGACAACAGTAATGAGTGTCATTTCAGTCATTAGTTATTTAGATTCAGTTTTTGCTAGATTTAGCTGGGGCTTGTCCCAGTATTTCTAGTCCAGTTTAAAGACGCTTATTTAAGACAGTTAGTTTCAGCTTAGTATTGAGTTAGTAACTTCATTGTATTAAACTCATCAGTCTTCATATTATATCAGTTTTAACATATGGATATTCCCCATCTTTTCATAATAAATAATGATTTAGCTTCCGCATCAGTTTATTATATTTAGTATGCTCATGATCATGCCAACAAGGTTAGCTTGGAATCACTTGTGGTCCTAGGTTCCGTATTCGCGTCTCGGGGTAGCTCGGGGCGTGACAATTAAAACCTTGGAAGGTGTAATTCATGCGGATGAAGCGATGCTAGATATGGAGTTGAAAAATCTTACGGCAAGAAGAAAGTGATGAAAGTGCTCTACTGGTGGTGAGTGTAAGACATATTGCTTTTTCAATGAAATTTTACAGTCTTTGCAAGGGACGTCCACCATAGTTGTGGACGAGTTCAGAGAAATCCTTAAGACATCGACTTGTCAAATTGCTAATACTTTCATTGATCAATGTCTTTTAACTCAATTTCAAATCAACCTTGGTGTGACTACCTTCATTGTCCATGTTCATTGAATTTCATCAGACTTTGGTGTATGGGATCCCGGAATTAGTTACGAGTACCTGGTTCTAACACGTTTTAATAAGAACATAGAGACACATGCATTGTTTGAAGAAATTAGAAAAGCGAGAAGTTGTTTACTTGTGAATTTGTATGTTAGTAAAACAGTTGAAACGAAAAGTGATGTTGTGGATATTAGCAACATATTACTGCAGGCAAATAAAAGTCACACTAATGATTCATCAGTTGAAGGATCAAATTGTATGTGGTTTTGCTTGCATCCAACAACGCATGACTTGACAGAACGTTTGAGTTGTTATTTCACTATTACAAGTGAACAAAAATTGTCCATTGGGTTCTCTGTTGGTTATAGATATGATGAATCCAAAAGTCTTTCAATTGCAGAGATTGTAGACTTGTTAGTCCTAGATACAAGTTTTGATTTTAAACATAAAGATTATGTGGTCTACTTCAAGAAGACATTTGTTTGGCCAGATGTATTCTGTAATGTTCTTGGCTTGGTTGAGCAAATGATTGTTCCTAGGATTGGTTTTAGAAATTTTAAATCTTTCTCTCAGTCGGTTCATTTTAACAATGATCCAATTCGAGTCGATATGGAAGTGCTTGTTATTCCAGGTTCTTCATCACTTCTACGAATTTGTTACATGCCTCCGGAAAGTATCATCGAGAACCTGCAGATGCCACTGCCTTCTATACTTTATCACATGGCCAGGAGTTGACACAAAACATGTGTTTTGGTGTTGAGCTATTTTGAGAAATTGTTTTATGAGAATGCTCTATTTCCATCGTTAGTTTATCTCTATTCAAACCTTGAGGACAAGGTTCTAATTGAGGACGGGAGTATTGTTATGAATCAACCTCGGCCAGACCGGAACTTTGACGTCACCAAATCAGTTATTGGGTTAAAAAGGTTGATTTGGGATCCAGGCCCAATTAGCAACTAATTTAAAAGGAAGAGAAGTTAGAAAGAGAGGTTAAGCATATTATGAAGAAACTGTATGTTCCTCTATCTCTTTCTAGAATCTAACTTCCCATCACCATTCTTATCTTTATCTTTATTTACTTGTTATTTCGGTATTTCACTTTGTAATTGGATTATCAATGAATATGATGTTTATGTATTTGTATTGAGAATTCGAGTTCGTTTCATTGATGCTCTTCAGAAGATAGCATTGTCGAGATTCAAGATCATTTTGGATTTGAAAACAGTCCATTAGTGTACACAACAAAAGAGTTCGATACAGACCGATCAATATTCACGCCATTATGACCCCATACTGTAGCTAGAGAAAAGTATTTTAAATGGTAGACAGTAATGCCAAAATTTACCTCCATCATAGCCATAACACTATCTTTATGCAGTCGAAGAACTTGCATTACATTCTCACATGTTGACCGGAAATTTCCCTCTATACCACTGACCTCCATTACTTTTACAAGCATCCTAGTGAGACGAAACAGAACCTATACAAAAAAGTTTGTTAAACTAGCTATTAGTTTCTTTGAAGGAAAAACATAAAATTTCTGGTAAACCATTTTTTAACGTAATAATTTACCTTCTCTGGAAACTTCTCCCTGCTTCAAAACAATCTCCAAAATCAATATGCAGAATCTTCCCACTGCATGACAAATATAAATATATCATAACTTTTGTCATCAGCAAGAAAATGCAATCACAGAGTACACTGGTACCTATATCGGTGAAGCATGAGGTTACTAGGATGTCGATCGCCCAAACCAAGTAAGTATCCAACCTGGAGAAAGTCAACCCAAAATCAACAGATGTACGCAAGAGAAGCAGCTAAAAAAGAAAGTATCTCCTTTTTCTGAGTTTTACTATTCTCTCTTCCCGATTTGTAAGACACCAGTTCCATTTTAAGACGCTGGAAAAATGTATTGAAAGCCATTCCATCATTAATACTATTATTAAGGCTTCACATGCCAATAATATGAACTCTGATACTATGTGTTCCTTTATTGAACTAACTCAACGCCACCTATTTAAATTTCTCTGTCACCATTACTAACATAATAAAGAAGTCAGGTGACATTTTAAGTTTTTGACCTACTGAATGACATCACATAAAATAGGCTGAATGCTCTTATTGCTAAAACAGTATCTCCTCGGGTCAAACTAAGTCAAGAAATTAGTGAGCCTGACTAAGTACAGAAGCAACTTTTTGTGCCAAACATTGGTCAGAAAGCTAACTATTGCTCCTCTGAATTAAGCATTTTAAGATACAGAAATACAACACATATTAGTCATGCCCTAGCTGCAAAAAGTTCAGGTTCTAAGCTTCTGACATGCCTAATTCAAATGGCTGTAAAAATTATGATCATGCACAGGAAGATCATATCATCAAAGAGAGTTGCACCATATAAATGAGCTTATATAAAAGCAAAACTTGTGTGATTACTCTGGGTACTCCTTGTCATGTATAGTTTCCGTCAAATCCAAATACTTACAAGCGGAATTTCATAACACTAAGTGGGTTTCTCATATATATACTTATATATATATAGAGAGAGAGGGGTAGTTTCTGATATATGACTAGAAGCCTCCAAAGACATTCTTCTCTCAAATGAGAAAGGGAAAAGAAGAAAAAGAAAGGTTGTGCACTGTTAGTTTACTTGATAGTATTATATAAAGCCTGTAAACACAACCCAACAGACTTACTTTTCCTATATCAAACTCTCTTTTTTTTTTTTAATTTAGAAAAGATATTAGGAAATATATTGGGTTTGTTTTACGCAGGAACGTTATTTATTTTGTATATGGATTTATTTGGTTTGGTGAGTATCGTGTTTCGGTTAAGAAAAGAAATTAGATAATTTAATCAAAAGTAGATTATTTTTGTCGATTTGAGTTTTTCATTCAATGGGCAATTGATTTGTAGGTACTGACCGTTCAAAGAATTTCATTTTAACGAAATAAATTAAATTATATGATATATTTGACACTTCATTCTTAATTTTTTTTAATAAAAATCTGTTCTCGAATACATCACTATTCTCTCTCACATATATCATATCACTCTTATTTATTAAATAGTGTATCATTTACAATAGAATTTAGGTAAGTTTTACATAATTTTGCCACCCCTGAGTTGATCCTAACATGTCCGGTGGTCGCCATTTCCAGTTGAAGTCCGAGTGTACTCAGCCCAAGGAGGCAGAAATGGCCTAATTAACCAAAGATGGCATAAGGGAGTTGATTTTACCAAGTTATTTCCACTATCAAAAACTTCTTCCATTGCATAACAATTTTTTCATATTTTTAAGGGT